TTCTGTTTGTTCTGCGTAGCCTGTGTGTTGTGTGCATATTGTGTGTTGTAGCTTTATGCTGCGCATGGGTCTGTACATGTATGCGTCACCGTACATGTGTATACCAAAAACGTATAGATACTCAGACGTCTCTCCGTGGGGGGTCTACGCGGTTTGTGTGAGCACACATCCTGTGTAAATGCCTGTTTGAAAAAACAGCACAAAGAACACTGATATACATATGCAGTATGCGCATACAGTGATGGCTGGCCTGGGCTTGAAACCCTCCCGGACGAGGAGACCTGGCCGCGGCGCAGGCCGAGACCGGACTGATAAGGAAGACAAAGAAGGAATACTAGCAGTGAAGCACAAAAATATGACTCATGAGTCATAACGCATCCATGACGCAATCGATGTCGTCCCGGCCTCCGCCGCATGGCTGCCCCAAGCGGCGTCACCTCTGCATCGTGGCTTGACCGTAGCTTTTGTCGCATGCAGGGATCGAATCATGGTAATGGCTTTTTAGCGGGGTTGGCATGCAAACCTGGAGCTTGGCCTGAGAAGCAAAGAGGCGACGAAGAATCCCGTGGCGCTACCTCGTGGCCCATCCTCCATGACATGGAAACCAGCCAGGCCTGCGAAGCAAGGCCCCTTTTGATCTGGACAGTTGGACAGTGCTGTACTCACGGCGAGATGGTGCGGGCTGAAGATGCTGACACGCATCCCGGCAACTGAACAAACGACCCGTGGCCACAAGAAAAGCGAACTTGCTGCTCCAAGCACCAAGTGCTGGCCTTGTCGCCCTGTCCTTGTGACCGGCTGCCATGCACTCTCAAAGCCTATGCTCTCTGAATTCCTGTGGCTTGATTGTGGAAAGCGACGGAGATAATTATAATGGAGACCTATGAGCATCACATCAAACAGGAGCCTACGGCAGGTGCGGTCAGGGTCTTTTCAGGCACCGGTCGCCTGCGGGGCCTGAAAGACCGAAACCATATGTTTTAGCTTTGCAAAGCTTTCCATGTTGAGTTGCGTTCGATGGAGGTCTTCGTGCATGTCGCTTGAACATGCGAATGTGAGCACTCGACTAGTGTGTGAGTGCGTCTTCCAACAACGATGACGGTGTCGGTAAGCTCTCTTCTTTAAAATCAGTCGAGGTCAAATCTATACGCACACAACCTACGAGAACCTGAGGCGCTCGATTGAGAAGATGCCTGAAAAAACACAACAGCACATGCACCAAAGAAGGTCGGCCAGCTTCTTGACGTTGAGACTACAACTGCTGCCCGACTACCGGCAAAGAAAACGAGCTCCAAAATCCCCCCAGAAAGCCTAAGAGCCCTGAACCTAACGCATCCGGCACCCTGCGCATCTTCTTTCTTCAGGAGCCCATCAAGACGGAGTCGGTCGGGGGCCGCATGATTGCAGCACGATGAGCGCGGCATCCGATCCTGATATCTGATAAATAAGCTCAAGGAACCGATAAAAACGTCTAGACTCGGACAACCTCATTATTAAAACTGGCCTGCTCATCTTACATTGTCATACCATGTCAATGATACATTTATAGTCACTACAGGTGCGATAACATGCGATAATGTAAGAGTTTCCGAAAATAGGGGACCCTAACATATTACCTTAAATAATAGGATCCTTATTATAAGGACCCCAAAATAAGGTACCCCTTCTTTTCGGAAACTCCCATGTGGAGCTCTGCCTTATCATCCAGAGCGCCTCCACCTCGGCCATCAGCTCGGGCCTGCAGGCTTTCAAAGGTTACTTAAAGGATCATGGGACTTAGTAACTAGGGCTATAATTAGGGTAGGGTAACTCTACTTATAAATACTTATAACTCCAATTAAGGTACTTGTAACCTTACTTGCTAAGTCCCATGATCCTCCAAGTACAGGGGCACCTTGGAAGTCTCCCTTGTTCCACGAACCCAGGACCTGTGGGAGCGGGTTTTTGTTCTAAACTTCTGCCGGAATCGCTAAGCCCTGACACATTGGAAACCCGAACGGTTGAGGTAGGACCACCCCTTCCTCCCTGATTCGCTCGCAGCCTCCCTGTCAATAGACTGAAGGGCGAATGGAGAGGAGCTTGTCTGTCGGTCTACAGCACAGACAAAGGGCGACTCACGCTGGTCTCCCACTCTCTCCCTCGCTTGCACTCACCACGCCTAGCTCTCTCGCTCTTTAGCTCGCTCGGTGCATACATGCATTCCGACTCCACAAGCTCAGGCAAGGAAGTCGTCGATCAGGCACGTGAGCACGTTTTTGCAGCACACCGCTTGAAACTCGAAACTCGAAAAGACATGGGCTCTGCAAGTGCAAGTTGACAATGCGCAGCACTCCACGGGAAGCCTGTATTAGGCCTTTGCCCCGCTTTTGCGCGATTGCTCAGCAAAGCTTGCAATCAACGACAGGCTCTGTTCCTGCTGCTGGAGCCGCATGTAATTCGATAAACCAGTAACCGGCAGATGCTGTCGGAGTGAGGGGGGTACGTAATTAGTGAACCACGACTTCCGGGTCACACAGGCTACCTTTTCTCCACCCGCATAGGTAAGATGATTGGGCCAGTGGTTCCGGCTGCATCTGCGTGTCTTTGCCCAGGACTCGGACTGATCCTGGCATCGACTCGTTGTCCCTTCTGCAAGAAAGCACTGAAATGACAAGTGGGCATGAAGACAGCTCCCAGGCGTGCGTCATCTGGGATCCAGGGTTTTGGGCTGAGAAAACGAAAGCCATTTCTTCAGAATTCAAAATCCTTGAAATACTTCGGGCCCGTCTCTTTAAATGCCCACTACAGTGCCTACGCAGAAAAAAAGGGGAGCTTTGCCTACTGGCATAGCTTCAGTCCATAACGATGCATAAAACCTCGCCGCCTTGGCGGCTCCGTCGCAGATCCTGGCAGGTGGGACGGAGAAGGTGGACTCTACTAGTACCAGTTTCTGAAACGAACACAGACTGGAGTAGATGGCATTTAGCATTCAATGCACAGGAACTGTCACAAAAACGGGTCAGAAGTGAAGACTCATTGGAGGAGGAACCGCTTCCATGTCTCCCAATGTTTCCCAACTGCCGCCGTGGTTCGGTCTGCATTCACTGTGATGCCATCAGACTCAATGCCTAGCAGTCGCACGCCAAGACAAGTACAAGCTTGGGCTAGCCCTGCAATGGATGGAAACAACACCGATCAGCTCAACAAACAAAAACCACGAGCTTGCGGACAATTCCAAGGCACGTCATGGCCGCACTGAAGCTGTCGCCAGGATGCTGCGGAACGGGCAGCTCGCCACCTGCCGCCATGCAATGAAGTTTGGCAGGATCATCGCATCCGCGCCCTGTACAAACGAATCAGCGTACTAGTATAGAAAGCATACTGGGTGAATCTTTGTTCCGAGCCTTCCGGATTTACTTCACTTCCTCGCGTGTACTCGGCTTTCATGAGGTGTGCGATTTCCAGCCTTGCCGTGCATGCCACATTCTGACAACGTGGTTTCTCGAATGGTTGGTGCATGTTGGGACCATCCGAGTATCCGGTTCAGCTGAGACTTCCTAGCAATCCGATCTCCTATCTGCCTCCGGTGAACAACTTGAATCGAAGCTCCCCGGTAGAATGAGGGCGTAGCTCGGGTCCAATTTGCATCCCAAGCAGCATGTCCGGATGATCCTCCATGTGGTACGTAGATGGGGGAGAACAGCGGTCGATGATCTCTGCAGCTTCTGGCCACGTCATCGTCGCGGCTATGTCCACCGTCTGCGTGGGGTGAACCAAGAAGGAGACACACAAAGAAGCACCCATGCATGATCTTGAGTTCGATTCTGCCACATGGATTTGCTAGTTGTCACTTGAAGTCAGGCTTCGATGGCTGTGCAAAAGCAAGGTCAAGCAAGGTCAACAGCCGAATTACATGTAGATCCGACTTCACGAGATGAAAGGAGACGAAAGAATAACAAGAGGAAGAAGACGCTTCAATGAATCTAGGTTGGATAGATTAAGACCATATTGGAGTATGTTGGATCAAGTCTTGAGCGCATCGACGCTAGACGGCCTGGCCTTGCCCGTCTTTTGACGAATGCTGTCGACAGACTCACCGCGCTGGATTGCTGCGATAGTGTCCGCGTCCTGGGCACCCCCTAAAGCATACATGGGGGCTATGGCTATGGCGGATATGGACAACAAGCCGAACTGCATAAAAAAACATGCCTCACGTCTTAAGCTTGGCTTACGTGTGCTTCGAAACCCTTGGACACTGTGCCCTGTCTGCACTGTCCCCACACGACAGCCCAAGCCCCAAGCAGTCCTCCACTTTTTTAGAGGCGCAGCAAAGCTGCCAAAGAAGCGTGCCGAAAGTGCCGAACCTGGGCCAGGCGGGAGTTCAAGCAGGTCGTAACACTGTTTAGGACACGTGAAGCTTGCAATCCAGTGGCAAGATGTCAGCGAGTCGCAGATTGCACGGCTGATGAACCGGACGAAGGTTTGAGAGCCCTCAAGCAGCTCTAGTAAGGGTATGCAGCTAAGGTGCGTCCCCTGAAAGGCCCATACCAGCCACCACATCACCCACAGTGCCAGCATGAAGCTAAGCCATGCCACGAACATCCAGGTACTTTCCTCACGGAATTTCAATGGACGTTGCTCGCTAAGTTCTGAGACCCCCAGCACAACCAGGGCGCAGATTCACCGCAACATATGGGTGGTTGTCAAAATTGTGGTCCCTTGTTCAGTACCTTAGATATTAGGTGCCTTACTATAATAGGGACCCAAAAAGGGACCACAATCTTCAACTACCCATATGTGCCACTCTCTATGAACTGCACAAGACACTTAGGTAACCCCGGTCCTTGGTCAATCTCGGCCACCAGCCCGCCAGGTGCTCGCTGGCTGCTGACTCGCCCTCCGCAATGAGCTTTCCTGCCAGGCGAGACCAGGGATTTGGGGTTCTAGGGTTCCCTTTATAGCGATCTACGGGGGTTCCCTTAAAGGGATCTATAGGGCGAGACCGCTAGAAGGCTCGGAGCCCTTATAATTAAGGAATATACCTTAGATTATGGTCGGATCCCTAATATCATTTATCATTTAAGGCATATTCCTTAATTAAGGGATATTGGAGGCTCAGGGCAAACGCAAGCTCAGTGCTTGCAGCAAGGCAGAAATCTCGCAGAGATGCCTATGTCACCACCAACCGGATTGGATGGGAAGACGCAGGGCTGCCCATACCTGCAGGCGCAATGCTCAAGTTACTCCTGAAGTAACCATGGCAGGGACAAACACTACCAAAAGCCACGCTGCATGAGGATGGCGAAGAAACAGTGTAAAGCGATGGCATATAACCTTGGTTCATGCATGCTAGTGACTGCTAGGGCAGCACAGCGCAGCAAGCACACAGACCAACATGCTTCCCGAGACATGTGCGGAAACAAGGCAGCTTGACTTTCAAGGCCCATCACACAGGCCGGAGTGCAATTTTTCTGAAGACTCCTTCGGCAGCAGGGCATCATAGGAGGGGGGCCGCTTGGAGCACCAGAGAAGTGCGATTTTGTCAGCCCAGTACCTTGGACATTCTGGCTGCTTGCAGTACTGTACAGGATGTCTTCATTCGAATCATCTCCGAAGAGAAACATGTGTCAGAGAAAAGCTTGCACAAGTGTATCCAACGGCTCACTTGTTTGCCTCCTGCTTGGCCCATTGATTTTAAGAAGGTATGATTCAAGAAGTGACAGCTTCGCTTGGGGCTGAGGCTTTGAGTACGACTTCCCTGCCAGGCTGCATGAGAACCATGTACCCAAAGGCGAAGAGATAAAGAAGCGGCATCCCGGCCTCACGACTCACAAACAGGAAACGCAAGCCAAGACACCGTTGCATCGCACACGCCGTCAATCACATGCCCCAAGAAAACTAGCTGCCAGCTTCAATGAACAAGTGCCGCCCAAAGACCGAGTATGTCAGTGCAACAAAAACGGTCGTGAGCATCTGGGCGTACCTGCAAGGTGTTCAAATTCTGTAGCCGGGCCAACCCTAGTCGCTTTGGTGCAGCTGGAGTCGAGTGGCTTTAGCTTGATGTCGAAGTCCGGATTGGTGTAATACCTTTGGAGTTGTCTTGGCTGATGACTGAGAGGCTCTTCTGACTAAGAAGGCCAAGCTGCGCGATGAGCTCCGAATGGTGCTTCACTCTGCCTGGCTCTTTGCACCATGCATGTTTCGTCGTCAAGGACGGGATCCAAACAGTCAGGCTCAGTGACTCGGGCTGCTACGTCTGCAACAAAGCCATGGACCCTGCAACAGCCCCTCCTGCGCAACATCGTCGCATCAACCAGGTCACGAATATGTTCCTGAGGAAGCTGGAAGGCCCAGACGTGCTTGCAGTCTAGGCATCGCTTGCAAGAGTCAATGCAACACTCCAGGCCCTTTGAAACGTCGAGTCGAAACGTGCTCAGAGCAAGGATGCATGAGGGGGCACGTCACTGGCAGAAAAGCAGCAGCCAAGCGTCGCTATGGTAACTGCGGGTGGCACTACCTTGACGAAAGCACGCGCTAAACGAGTGCTCTTGATTGAAGTCCAGGACCCTTTTCAGCAGAGGTGCCATGTTCAGGAGCATGTTGACCATGATGGTCGCTCCCACAACGACGTACCTCAAGAGGCTGCGAATCCGAGTGTACTCCTCGCTTGAAACAACTTCTGTCGCAAGGCTTTCCGGAAGCATCTCATGAATCAGGCCGTTCTGCCAGGCGCGTGTCAAGTCCGCAAACGGTCCCGCGAACAACCAGGTGCCGACCAGCGGGATGGCCTTCAGCACGTCTCGCCTTGCACTACTTACCGTTTCTCGATGAGACTCCATTCTTGCAGGCCGAGAGCATACTGCTTAGACTGACTTTCGCCGTCTTGCCGGGCTAGGGCGAGGATAAGGCATTGGTGCAGGGCACGTTGAGCATACCCCTTTTTGCTGGCATCTTTCTTCGGCACGTTTGGTCCACAGGAGCACAACTACCCCGGTCTTGGCATTCGCGGTGGGCGGCGGCTCGCAACACAGTACGTCACGAGCAGTGATGAACTCCTTGACCAAGTGCCGCGATGACGACTTGTACCAGCGCCGGTGGTTGTGAATCCTGCGGCCCATGTCTGCAGTGGGACTTGTGGAGGGCGGGCTGCTTGCCTTCCCTCTCCGGAACCCATGGCCTTCACGTTGGAAGCTTCTCGTATGTCTGGTGCTAATCGGGGGTCCGGGCAGCGTCCGCGATGTCGCGCTTGTGGACCACATTGGGGCCCCAACAGGAAAGTACAGGTCCAGAGGCCAAAGCAACGCTGGCAGTCGCAGCTTCTTGCAAACCGAGCGAGGCATCGTCATCGTCCTTCTTCCCGACTCGCGAGGGCCAGGCTCAAACTGCCAAGTCTTAGGTCTTCGGACCCTGTGCATCTCGTCGGGGAGGTGGACGGGGACGCTCTTGAAACGCGCCATTTGACCCATGCTCTTCGCTGGCAGGATCTGGCCGGCACTTCCCGTCTGGGCGAGGGCGAGGCAACCTTGCAGCTGGGGAAATCATACAGAAGAATAGAAAAGGGTATGATAGTTACAAGTTACAAGTACAACACGATTGAAGCATAACATTCCATACTATGAAAGGACTCCACTTCTACACTCTACCAGGTACCTGCCTTGAGTACCGCAATCGCGGCAGCAGGTCCGAAGCCCTGCTTTGGCACAGGGCCTGTCTGTATGAATCTATATAAACCTCTTGCACTACCACCAACTGTACTCATATGTCAGCTGTGGCTCAATCGAATCCGCCCCGGGTTTGGCAAGCTTGTCCAGGGAACATTCAATTGGTCCAGGAATGCCTCCATGGAGCCTGCGCACGAGTTGTTGAAATCAACAATCACGGATTCCAGCCTCTGCATAGATGCGTGTGTGGCCTTTCAACTCGCTGGTGGACCATGGCTTTCGAGAGGAACCTCGGCCGGTGATGATCTCCAGACCTGTACAGACCCAAGCTGTCAAACAGCTCTTGCAAACTCCGACTTCTCCGCCTGGAGGGTGCCGGCCAGAATTGTACCCCACATGGTCGAGCCACCACCGCACCTGCACAGCTCCCACCTCTCTGAAACCGTGGGACCTTCCTGCAATTTCTCTCGTGCATTGCTACCCATATCGGATCGACAAGCCCTCTGCCAAGTGAACCTGAACGGCCCTGGATGACGCCAGGGCACAGCAAACTTCGCAGCACCGGCTGAGAGGTCATGCAAATCCAAGTATTCCCGGCCCTTGGCCAAAAGCCTGGCAAGGTGTTGAAACGCCCGGAGGCCGTCGTTCCGCCCCGGAGATCTCCTTGAGACAAGCGGCCGGGGATAGGCGACTTGCATTGCGGACAAGAAGAGTGCCTGAGTTTGAGTGGGCTGCAAGATGACTGCAGAATGGCACACAGGTGCGACTGATTCGCTCCGTGACAACAGGCAGCCGGTGTTTCAAGCCCAGCGCCTCGCCCTCCACATCGCCAGCAGCTTCCAGCACAGCATTGAAAGTAGCTTCATCTGGCTGAAGGGAGCGGCCGTCAAGTTCACCTCAGCCCACAGATGTCAAGACATCCTTGAGGGCAGCCGCTACGGCTTGCATTGCGTTCATGAGGAGCAGATCGACTGCCTTTTCTCTTGCTTTAATGCATGCATTGATGCATGGATACATGGAAGCGTGGATGCATGGATGCATAGACGGACGGACGGATGAATGGGTGTGTAGATGGATGGGTATATCCATGCATGCATGCATGCATGTGCGGTGTATGCGTGCAAAAGCAGGTAGAAGTGCAACTATGGATATATATGAGGTCTCGACACCCTTGGCCTATGGTGCATATGCACGTTCTCGTCCACGTAGTTCGACAAAAGACTTGCACTCAGCCACTGACTTAAGCCCAGAAACGGAAGAGTGCCATGGCCCTGTGCCACTGCTGACCGGCCTGGCAAGCTGCCAGTGTCGCATTGAAGCTGATCAAGTCCGGCTGCGTGCCGCTCTCCTTCATGTCCTCGAAACTTTCAGAGGCGCCCGTGCGAAAGTGCAGGCGCACACCCTTATCTATCTGTGTGAAGATGTATACAGACAGAAGGAGACACAGACACGGGGAAACGTTTCGATATATGGTGCAGCGCTGCTTGGCCCCCCCCCCCCCCCCGCGCCCCCCCCCCACCCATGGGGTCCCCCCCTCCCCGTGGTGTGGGTTTTCTCCGTGCCCATCCCCCCTGTGGTTGCGGTCGGCTGCGCCCCCTTCCATGATGCTATTGCTGGTTGGGCGTCCGGTTGCCAAGGGTTTAGACCTAGGATGTGATACAGTTCCGCTGAACTCCGACCTGAACCGACCGAGCTCCAAAGCCAATGATAGTGATGAACAATCACTATGGTGATGATGATGACGAAGATGGTGGTCATGATCCCCATCCGCACTCTTCTCCGGTCCCGTGCTCAAGAGTCCCGAACGAAAATCATTCAAACACGTGAAGCTTGCGTTTACGAAACCCAACGCAAGCTCGGCTTGGAATGACAACGGTCGATACAGTCTTTCGCGCGAACGTCACAAGCCAAGCACGATTTTCAATTACATAAAGCAATGAACATGCGGTGTGGAAGCCCAGAGCAACATAAGAGCAGAGGTACCACCAACAGCCACACTGGGAATAGCACATCAACGTCGTTGTGCACAACATGGTCGCCATCATTCTCATCTATGCGTCGAAGGGTGGGGAAGGGGAAGGGGCCTTGTGGCTCCCTATGTTGTGGGTTATCTTTCCCCGCCCCGCCCCTGTGGCTCCCTGTCTTCTGGTTCCATGTGTTGTGGGTTATCTCTCCCGCACGCCCCTTTGCGTCCATCCGTCCCTCCGTCCACCCGTCCATCATCTATTCATCCGTTTCGTTCATGCATTCATTCAGTCAGTCATTCCATCCATTCCATGCATTCCATTCATCCATTCATCCATATTTGATTCATTTCATTCATTTCATTCATTTCATTCATTTCATTCATTTCATTCATTTCATTCATTCATTCCATTCATTCATTTCATTCATTTCATTCATTTCATTCATTTCATTCATTTCATTCATTCATTCCATTCATTCATTCATTCATTCATTCATTCATTCATCTCATGCGTTCAGTTCATGCATTCGTGTATCCGTTCATTCATCCGTTCATTCATTCGTTCACACAGTCATTGATCGATGCATTCATTCTGTCTCACATTCATGCAGTCAGTCCGTCAGCCCGCCGGCTGGCCAGCCAGGCAGGCATTTGTATGAGGATGCATGTATGCACGTGTGCTGAGAATGCGCTTCCTCCAGAAGCTGCACGGCAGCTGGCCAGCAACTTCCGCGATCACAGGCACTGATGGCCGCATTGAACGTGAAGCTGTTCGGTGTAACCTTTCCGGAAGAGACATGGGTAAACGACTGCTGCATAAATACCACAGGCTTGATCTCAGCACGTCACCGTTTGTGCCACACTCTGCGCAAAGAGCGCCAGTGCATGGAACCACTGGGAAGCTTTGCCGCAAGCACTGACAGAGCTGCAGTAGGTGATGCTGTCCGCATGCCTGGCTCCTGCAGCCGAAGTTTGTTGGCATCGCACGACACAACGGCGAGCAAGGACAGGGCGAGAGAGAAAAGGAGAGAGGCAATGAGTGCACGAAACGAAAACATGAATGAATGAGCCCAAACCAAGTTTGTATGTGAGAGGAACACCTTTATCACATTTTCAAATGAAACGCGGTGCAAGCTTCGTGTCTTTCCCCTAAGGTCGCCTTTCTGAAAGACACTGCGCAGCTTCGGAGAAGCTTCGGAGAAATGCTCTGCATGGGATGTGCGATGACTGCCCCCCGCAAGCAATGTTGTTCCATAGGCTGTTCTGAAAGGAAGCGCTTCCCTTCGGCACTTGCACGTTTGGCACCTGCAAGCCCCTTTTGACGACTCAAAAAGACCGTAGGTACACGAGAATCACAAGTCTGGATGGGCGAGTCGGGACGTGTGTCAGGAGGTCCTGACCGTAGACACAATAATGGTAGCAGGTTTTCGGGTGTCTGAGTCACTGTCTTGGCATGTCCTGATCTGCTTCTTATTGCGTTTGAGACGATGCTCGAAATTATCTTTCAGGTACATGATCGTTTCCCACAGCCGTCCTAAAAAAATTTAAAAAAAATTATGGCTGTCCTCGTTGTAAAATCTGATCAAAGAGTTGCAAAGCCTGGCACCAGAGACTGCCACGGTCGCAGGCTCTCAGAGCAGTCGAGCAGGTGATCGCGTTGGGGGGAACTTGCCTCGGCTCTGAGACTTCCTTAAAGGACACGCCACTTAATTAATATAAAAAAAAATATATATATATATATATATATAGGGAGATATATATATATATATCTATATATATATATATATATATATATATATATCGGGAGGGAGGGAGGGAGGGAGGGAGGGAGGGAGAGGGAGAGGGAGAGGGAGAGAGAGAGAGCCTGCTCCGCTAACTCCGCCACACGAAGGCGAACCAAGCGCCCAAGCGGGTACTTAGAGCTCCCCTCGCCGAGCCGGGCATGCCTCAAAACCAAGCCTTTTCCAAGAAGTAGCACACAAAGTGATCAAAGGCCAAACGAAGCCCGTGACACCGTTGCTCGTCTTCTGCTGTTACAAATCCAAGAAGCACCTCTTTCATATCCTCGAAAAGTAGCAGCGCACGCTGCCACCTCGCAGACAGGAAGTGGAAGTTCAGACTAGGACATCTCCTCTTCAACTTCCAGGGTCTGTAGCGGACCCTGGATTTCGACAGAGTGGCCTGTTTGAGGACTTGACCGGACATGGCCCTGCTTTAATCAAACCCCTATGCCGAATTGGCCCAACAACGATCGAGATGCTGCAGGCTTCCCGACATTGCATTCATTGCGCTGCTGAAGAGGACTGTGTCCTGAGCCGGGCAGTCACAAAGTGGCGTTGCAAGGAATCCGTCCGGCCTTCGACCCATACTGTATCCAATCAACGACACATCGGGTCACCGCTACCAAGTCGCGGCACGCAGAACCGGCAGCATGCTCTCGAGAAGCGCCAGCGCGTCTTGCCAAATCAGGTGGCAGGGCTTGAACAAAACGAAAACTACAAACACTGCATCACTGGCCTCACTCCAGCTTTGAGGTGTCCCAAACCGCTACAGAATCGACGCTGGCAAGATTTGGGCTCGGAACCCTCACCCTCACGAACTTGGAACTGCTCTGCCGGGGCCCGGTCCGGGCCAGCGGCGCGCTTGTCCAATGCCTCGGAGAGCTGCGCTGGTGCCCACGGCGTCCGGGCGCAAGGACCTGCATGGAAGGCCGGATGTATCAATATTAGTATTAGTATTCGTATTAGTATTAATATTAGTATTGATATTAGTATTCATATTAGTATAAGTATTATCTGCTTCAGAGTCTCGGACATCCACTCAGCATTTGGCAGCATCATGTGGCCGAGGGGCCACCGCTGCATGGACATCAGCAAGGCCAAGCTGCGTTCCCAGCGAGCAGCGCTCGAGCATGCGCTGATGGCACTGTTGAACGAGATCGCCTGGTAGACCATTGGGTACCATGCATCTGGAGCCATGTGAGTGTTTACATGTGGGGGTCTGCCATCTGGCACACCTGACCTTCAGTCATCAGTCAGGGAACATCCGGTTGCACGCCGGCTTCGCCATTACAGAGCTCCTCAAGCAGCCGCAAAGCTCTTTGCCACTGAGCCGATCTCTGCATTGCTGCAATGGTGGCATTGTGGAGGCATGCCTTAGCCAAAGTGGTGCTCATGGAGATGCAACTTTCGAAGCAAAACGTCAAGCAGCCTCGCACGACAAGTCACATCTGGATCCAGCTGAGCCGTCGCCGAAGACAGCGCAACAAGCGCTTGTTGCCAGAGTCTCGCCCTCTCACATGCATTTATCACCTGCAGAAGCAATCCACGGGTCATGTTTCGAAGGCTGTCTCAAAACCCATAATGCAAGTCCGAGTCGCTGCCGTGTAGCTGATCACATCCGGCGTGGCTGCGTGTTGCGCCATCTCCGACAACAGCACAGTTGCCTGCGACCATGAGCTACAGCCACTGGAACATCGGGGACATGAATCGAGCGAATTAGCCTTCAAATGCCCAGGTCCAGACCCACCAGACCAGGCCATGGGCCCGTAGGCCCTGAGCCTCCTAAAGCTCCTGAAGCTCAGACAGCAGTAGCACATATTGGAAAAAGTGAGCCTGGCCTCCTTCCAGCGGTATGCAGCGGCACAAGCACTGATGGTGCAGTTGACTGTCACGGAATCTGCATCCACGTGCCACGATTCGGTAAGCAGGGCCACGGCTTCCTGCCATTGTTTCTTCCTCAAGCGATTGCTGGTTCAACTCCAGACGGCATGCGCCTGTACAGTCCATGCTGAGGCACACACCGGCCATAATCCTGCAGTAGATTGTGGCAGCGACGGCGCATGCCAGCAGCCATGGTAAGCCGAGGTGGAGGAAACCGAGGCCCGCCAAGCTAAGGCAGGGCTGCTGAAGGGCAACCGCAATGGGAGCTTGGCATGATCCCCTTGCGCCTTCATTCTGATGTGAGCCGCACTGGCTGCAGAACATAAGACATAGACGTTTCAGATGTCAGCACCTTCTGCCGTCCAGCCAGCCATTGCTCGAGCCCCCACATCTCGCAGGCAAGTCGCATGCCGTCGGGCCCGTATGTGTTCACGATGAACAAGACGAAGCCTTAAAAGCAACAAGGTGCCGATCGGCTGATGCGACTAGCAGTTCCATTGAGGTCCTGGGCCCAACGCTTACATGAACCTAAAAAGTTGGAACATAGATTTTGCTTTAGGATGATTAGTGCTGGTATCCCCTGTGTTTTACCTTAATGGCCCGAGGATAACTTTCTGGCTTCTACTTTAAGTGCAGCTGAAGCTACCTGTGTTCAACGTCTGCGCCAGAAAGATCTTCGTCATCATGGACTTGTTGAGCGCCGTCAGTGACAAAGGTCGCTCGAAATATGCCATGGCGATCAGCACCTCGGCTCCGAGAGCCACAGCACCACAGCTGAATAGCCTGAAGCGCCAAACCAGAAAGACCAAAGGACATGGCTACACCACCAGCACCGTGGTCCATACGCCTTCACTGTCAGCTTACCCCTGCGCTGGAACATACAGACTTACAACCATTCGAGTCTGCCCGGCCATGTCACAGACGCCTTTCAATTGACAACAAGACCTTTTTCATAAACTGGGCCACATATTGAAGAACCAAGTTGATCAGTACGACAACGCAGGAGGCGGCTGTCATGATGCCTCGAGACGGGTTTTCTGGGGCTTTTGGGTCAGGCTTCGGTAGGTGGGCCGGTGGGGCAGCGGGAGAAGTGTGGGGAGGGGCACTGGGAAGCGCAGAACGGAAAATGCTGATCTACCTTGATCTAATCGCTGTGCAACATGTCACAACAAGATGCAAACAAACCACTTGAAGTCGGGGTGAGGGATGCTTCGGAAAGAACCATATAGCCCCTCCCAGAAGTGTGCTTTCTGCCTAGGGCTATGGTCTGGCGTCCCAGGCTCCGATCCCCCGTGCCGTCTTCAGGAACCAAGGCGTACAGGTGCTGACCAGGGAGGTATCTTCCACCAATTTCGCCTCGGGGGGCCGGAGAGAGGGACGTTTGAAGGCTTCAGCTGAAAAATCTTAACCAAGAAAAAACAAATATATATATATATATATATATATACACACACATACATAAATACGGTGTGTGTGTATATATATATATATATGTATGTATATATGTTGGCATTATTGAAGGCCCTCGGGCTTTGGGTTGCAACTGCCACTGTGGGATTTCGGTGCCCACTTTGGGACATGCCAGGCGAGTGTTCTGATCCGGTTGGGCTTTATGTAAAGCCTTTTGGGGATTGACGGCTTCGCGTTGACTCTCGCACTCGCAGAATGCAGGCAAGGCCAGGGCTCATGGGCTTTCGGGTCTTTCGGCAAAAGGAAAGGCCCGGATTGCCTCTGCCAAAACATCCGAGGCACGTAGCCTTGAGATTCGCACCAGCAGTTCAGAATGTTGCCGCCCTCTGTAGCCGCGAAGTCCTTGGTCCAGTTGGCTGCAGTGCTCACCTTAGCGGCAGCCGCAGGTCAGAGAGCAGAGTGACCGCAACGACTGTTAGTCGTAGTCCCCCACTTTCTTCTGCGCAGGATGCCATACTAATAAGAATCATCATCATATGAGAATACTAATAACCAATATTAACGATACTAGTAAGAAAAATAACAACATCAGAATATTAATATAAATAATACTAGTAATAATAGTAACAAATAATACGAGTAATGATAATAATGTTTATAACCCCCAACTTGACCAGGCTGCCCTGTGATGTCTCCTCAGCCCCAATTCAGCCAAGAGACAATGCAGATGTAGTCATCTTCTGGGGCACCGGAGTAGTTCGTTTCAGGATCACAAAGCTCGTTGCCGATGTAGCCTGGTGTGGACGGCATGGAAGCACTTTCGAAATCATGAGGCCATCACCAAGCAAGCCCCGGTACACTCCAGCAACTGTCGAAACTCAGACGTCGATCTGCAAATGCGGCAAGGGTGCTCAACTGTACGCCGGCTTCTCTTTTGCCGTAGACAGTTGTCACATATATCAACGCCTGCCAACGGGAAGCAACGCCATCGGCTTTCCATGAACAAGTAAAAGAAAAGCCAGCTCAGAGCGTGAAGGAACTGAGTGTTTGACCAGCGAAATCGCCAAGATGATGATGAAAGTGACAAACCTCAAGAGGAACACTAGCCGAAGTCTGAAGCAGATCGGCACTGTCCGGAAAGCCTATGCACCAAGATTGACAGCAACTGTGCTGCCAGATGCGCCACGTAAAGGAAGATCTCATCTGCAGTTGCTTCTGCTTTCTGCCAAGGAACATACACAGCTGCCTGCCGGGATCAGATGCCAAGAGAAAGGCCAGAAACACTCTTCAAATGTAACTTTGGCATCTTGATGCATCCGCCTCAAAAGTCGACTCCACCAAGGAGTATCCTGGTTCTCCCAAAGGAGATCTGAAGGCTGGGGCGCTTCCCGCACTCGCAACGCCGCTCCTGTCAGTTTCGGCCGGCATAAAGGTGCACAGGACGCAGACATACAAGTTGAAAGATGCCAGGGGTCCAAGTTGCGCTTGCTGCCCAAGCCCCGCACCGAAAAATCGTTTCGAACTTGACTGGCAGCAGCGAAACAGTGCGAAGTTGGCTAGACCTCGGAGGCAGGCATAGAGACCGACGCAAGCAACAAAAGCTAGACTACTGGTGTCGCAAGTTTACGGCACAACATGGCACAACACAACCCTGCACGAAATTGGCAGAGTAACGAAGCATGGAGATATGCACTACCTCCTCGCCCCTCTACTCTTGGCACCACGGAACGGTAGTCGTACATCAGGCCGTGTTTGTCTGCTGTCCGATTGAGGATCACGTAGGCGCGGAGGACCGGAAGCCTTTCGCCCACCGGATCCAACAGTGATGTGTGCTTCACGACCATCCTCTGACCTACCCTACGAACAGCCACCTGCTTACAGAAGAAAGTTATCGACGAGGTCTCGACACAACAGTAAGAAGAGTAATGGTCGAGTGGCTCGTTGTCAGGTTCCAACTGGGCCTCCAATCGCTTGTCCAGCTTCGCCTTGGAAGCATGCTCAAACTACTTGTCGGGTATCATGGGGAACTAAAGGTTCGCCTTTTTGGTTATATAGGGATTATATAGGGGACTATACTACGCAAAAAGGTTAAAGGTTGCCTGCTCTACTGGGTCAACATGCCGCATCTTCATCACAACACATCCTCGCTAGGCGCGTCCCGTTCAGTGTTCAAGAAGATCTACGCATTCACAGGTACCAACAGACACCAGAGCAGAAGCACCGTGTTATGTTCCTCACATGCTGGTTCCAGATTCCTGACGACTGGTGCAACGTACTTGCAATGCCGTCACATGCTGTTGCTGTGGCAGCTTCTGTTGTGTTTCACAGTTTTCACAAGGACAGAGGGCTCTGCTGCAGATGCAACGGCCGAGGAGCCAGTCTTCCCTCAGCCTTGAAGATCCGCTTTTCTTTTCCGTAAGCTTTCCTCGGCTCTTTGTGTCTACCTGCTGCGCAGTGGTCCACGCCCGCGTTGTCCTCTTAGGCTGCAGTGGCAGCCGAGGAGCGCAACGTCGATGCTCTGCAACATGTGGCCACGAGCCTTCAAACTCTCGAGCCTGCAGGAAGCTCCAAACAAAAGAAACACATAGTCAAACAACGGCAATTAGACAACAAGAGACCTGAGTGTCGGTAGATTCGGCGCCGGCAGAATGCTACTCTATCTTACCGCAAAAGTCTAACACGAATGGGTTTCGCAGCCGCCAATGTGGTAGTCGGCTGCTTCTTGCTCAGATTCTTGCCCCTACTGTGGTCTTCAAACTGCTACTGTAACGAACGCCACAGGCCTTGTTATGGCTGGCTGTTCTTACCACTCAGCATCTCAGTCAACTACTGATGCCACATCATCTTATGACGCGAACGACTGCGGCTACTCGGCGGCCCCGTCCTTCCACCGTAGTCACGCACCAAAGTGATATCTGCCACGTGCGGCTCGGGCCTCGGATCGGAGACTACCGTGGGGATTTCTTGTTCTCCTGCCTCATCATCATCATCATCATCATCATCATCATATATACATATACATATACATATACATATACATATACATATATATATATATATATATATATATACATATATATATATATACATATATATATATATATATATATATATAAGTCCAAGCTCCTCCTGGGAGGCCTCGAAGCATTGTCCTCGGGCATTGCCTGCAAAAACCTCTGGCATCGGCCATCGCCCGTGATGCTATGGCTAGAGTCTAGAGAGCATCTCCCGATCTCACTGTCGCCGAGCATCCCTGGCTTCCCAGCCTGCGCAACTCTCATCCGCTCTTCCAGGTGGTTCTTCCTCGGCAGCTAGGGTGTGCAGCGGCTGGGCAGCATGTAGTTTAGGAGGGTATCCCACTCATTCCACTCGAAAACGAACCGTCTCGCTCTACTGCGCAATCCAAGCTTCAGCAGGCGCTTGTAGTCGGGCTGGTGGTCGATCCTGGCAAACCAAGATGTCTTGCCACAAAAGACCGAGAGGCCACAAGACCCTCAGTTTTCGCTAACAGCATGTCGGTGTGTTTGCATCTGTGTGCATGTGTGGTGCAACGGTTAAGTCCAAGTGTCATCGACATTACTGCTTGATCCATCTAGGGCTTAAACAAGCAGCGCCCAGCTTCCAATCACATCACATGACATGGTCTGTCACACCCCTCGCTTCATCTCGCTTCGCTCGAGTCCTCGGCGGCAGCTTGTCGATGACGACGGAGAAGTCCTCTTCCGCCGGAACATCGGATTCAAAGGCTGGCCGCTGCCTAGCCGCCTAGCCGACAGGAGTCCTGGACCGACACATTCTCAAGGTCATCCGTCAATGCTCTCCGAGGGATCTCGATGAAGCCTGTTTGTGAGTCTGCCGTGATGCAAGGAAGCTGGAAAGGAGCAAAAATGAAGTACATCTGTTCTAGTTAACCTTTCGAAGGCATGTGTCAGCTTAAGGCCTGCGATGCCCGCACGAGACAGCACTACAGAGTCTTGCAGCTCCGAGACGGAATCTCACCAAGTAGACGAAAAGAATGATCCTGATCCGAGCCATCATGCAAGGGCACTTAGTTCAACGGCATTCCATGAGCAAAGCGGCAACTGGGCTGCATCTACAGCAGAGCTTTGGGCTTCTCTCGCAGCGGGGTTTCTGCATGCCGTCCGTTGCAGCCCGGTCACATGGACGCGAGGTCTAGCCAAGCGAAGATGGGTGTCAAGTCCGACAGCTCTGCTCCATCGCAGCCTGCCCGGACTATCCGCAACCTCGGGTGATCGGAGGGCAAGGGCTGAAGACTAGAAGTGGCGAAAGTTCGCCGAGCTGCAACGGGTCCAACACTTTCGAGTCCTTGCAAAGATGCAGCAATAGCGTGAAACTGTCAGAGGGCAGGAGCAACTCCAAGCCCATCAACTCAGCCATATGCAGGTGCACTCAAACACAAACACGCACCAAATGTCTGCAGCTGCTGCAGCATCGGAAACCACCAACCGTGAAAATTGATTCGTGCGCGCCAGAATACTTCAATTCCGCCTCTGCGCAGCCCCATAGCCCTGAACTCCTAAACCTGAGCCCCGTAAAATTTGCTGGTAGAGGTCTGCGAGCAGGCCCAGGTTGCCGATGGAAGCACGAGCCTGGAGCCAGAGAAGGACACCTTTCGCTACACCGTCCTTCACCTTCTTTTCGGTTCTTAGTAGGGACTGGGTGAATGGATTATGGAGACTACTTTTGGGGATTCTATAGGGGCTACTATAGGGATCCATTCCTCATACCCTACTACGCACCAGGGAGCCTTTCAAGCCTCAGATCAACTGGTAACCAGTTCCGTCCCGTTCAGCACCCTAGATGGCAGCCGAGCGGCCAAGAACTGCCCATTGTCGGGGGCAAAGGTGCCCAGCAAACAGAAGGCGGAGGTGGGAAAGGTGAGGGCCGCCTTGGCAGGGCTGGGATCCAAAGTACACTGAACATCCCGCTTTGGCATCATGTCTGTACCATTCGGTAGCTAGCGCTTTTTGCCCAGAAGCCATGGTTGCGAAGAGGATGCCCAAGGTTCGGAGAGTGGTGAAATACATCTCAAGGCCACTTCCACCGATAGAACCTGATGCACACAGACCGTCCCGAAGAGACAGGGGAACTGTAGAGGATCATCTCAGAACGTCCCTTCTTGTTTGGGCATGTCTGGCTCAGGTGGCTGCTGAAGGTATCGATGTCCGTGCAGAATGGGTTCAGCCACTTTCCACCCTTAGCTGACATTGCAGCTCTGCCTGGCCCTCCCCTGGGCTTCCCAGCACTCCTACTTTCCAGCCGGGCAGCCACGGTTGCACTGCTAGACCTCAGGTATGTGACCATTCCAAACCCAAAAACCCGTTTCAAGCTGCACCTCAAGCTCAAGCACGGCCATCACCTTGCTATGCGACGAGACACACTAAGTGGCGCCTCGCTGAAGCCAGGTCTGGCTCCGTGCGGCGGATATCATCCTAGCAGGGCATCCCAGGGCCACTGGAGCTTCTCTCTCAAGTCTCGAACACTCAAAGCCGGAGCATCCGATCCCAAAATGAATCCTTGACCGTGGATCTTGGCTTCATGCTGCCTTGGTGGAAGCACCGCAAACACAGGCCCGAGTGTGACGAGGCTGAGCTTTGTCGCAGCGCGGTGGGACGATCTGTTCCTCTGCCTTGCATTCTCAAATGCGGTGGAGCAACTGTCGTCCTCGTGACCAATCATCTTCGTGCTTGATTTGTTGCCTTATATCGGGTGCAGGCAGACCACGTGTCTAGATGTTTGCTTCGGATGAGATCAAGTGCAAGCCGGGCTGCACCAAACAAACGGAACAAGAATGAGCGAGATGAGCCCAAGTGCTGTCGCAGAAGAGATGATCCAGACCTGAGCCAACGCAACTTGCCAACATGCTTGCCAGCACTCGCAGGCCAAGGCTGCGGCTCGAGCAAAGTTACCGCCTGTACCACCCAGTGTGATGTCACCGCATTCCGCCTGCACCCAAGACGTCTCTATGCGCGACAGAATGCCACACACATATTATTAAACGCATTTAAACATCGAGCCACACATCAACAGATTCCGCGGTCACAGCAGCAAACCTGCACCGTGCCCCAGCTCTCTCATGCATCTTGACAACCTTGCGAACCTCTTCGGCCCAGGTCTCTATGGCCAGGGTTCCATTGATTCGACCAGTCTTGTTCAGCCATATGGCCAGAGCTGCCGCCATGGCTACACACGGCAGCTTGGAGGGCAGCAGTCGCTAGAATCTAGAGAATCTGGCAAACTATGGCAAACTTACTTGGTGCTCCTGTAGCTGATCTTCCACTGCAGGCCGCGCGGCCGAACAGAGGCCCCTGCTACCGCGAGCTGGGGACGAGCACCCTGCGCAGCTGGCAGTTTCTCGTCTGATACTGAACAGCTGCGAGATACTCCGAAGTCTGCCGAATCTAAATCGCAGGCGTTCTTCGGGTCGATTCTCGCTTGAGTAACTGTTGCCCGAGATGGCCTGCGAGCTGCGATGGCCGAAACGTTCTTGAAGCAAGAGTCTGGAAACACGAGTTGTTGCACGCGGGCTTAACTGACAGCGACATGTCCAAGAACTTCCGGGCATGGGATCAGTTGTAGACCAGGCCGCAGAGGCTGCGCTCTCCTTTTGATCCAATGTCTGAGCCAGAAAGGCTTGAGGCCTTGCGTGGAAGCATGAAAGCTGGAGTTATCCACTGAACGAACTAGCAACTGCACTTGCAGGCAGCTGGCACAGCTCTAGGCCTGCGACTTTGGCAGGCGACTACCGCCATCTCAGAGCTCAGCAAAGGGCTGCCAGCTCTTGGAGCCCGTAGTACAGGCCGGTGACGGCCCCAAGTGTCCCAACCATCAAACAAACGAAGTCGAGAATCCACTCCTTAACGACGCACAAGTTGGACAAACAGCTTGGAGGGTGTCCATAGCTTCCTCAGCACCAAACCTAACCTGAAACTCGCAACTTCCCAGCTCAAACTGTTGATTTTGAATTGCGTAAATAAAACATGCACCATCAGCTTCAGCCCCGTGGAGCGCATGAATGTGGCGCATGAATGTAGCATCGCTCGCATAGCTTCATAGCTGTCCGAGGCTCGTAGCACGGCACTCTCATGCCCTGCTGCCGCTGGATCGCAACAGAGAAGACTACTGGAAGGATGAAGACGGTGCCCTGCTCTGGGGATGTCGTGTTTGGAGTCGAAACATGACGTCTCTCGGCTTGGGCATCCCGGAGCTGTTCAGACTTCAATTGAGCCGAAGCCAACTACCAAAGCCAACACAAGGAAAGCCGAAAGCCTTAAAGCTTCTAAGATAAAATGGCTACCGAAGGTCTGCATCACCCACAGAACCCAGATCACTGTGCTAGGAAGCTGCACATGCACTAAGACAGTTTATTACCTTCGGTTAGGATTTCGAACCTCTACAACTTGGACTCCGCGAGACGTGATATGGCCTGGCCAGCAATGGCGGCGACCACGTCCAGCAGGGCACCAAAAAAAGGCAGGGTGTAGGCCAGGATGGTGCACAAGCCCAGAAACCTGACTGCTGCACTATTACTATTACTAGTACTAGTACTAGTACTAGTACTAGTACTAATACTAATACTAATACCAATACAAATAGTGATACTACTAACTACTACTAATACTACTATGAATATTAATACTAATACTAGTACAGCCAAAGAAAGGGTTGCAGGTTCTCAGAGACTGCCGCCCGCAGGGATTGGAACAGCCACGTAGCAGCAGACGTGGCAGTCGCATAGTCAGGCCGCGCAAACCGGGCTTCAAGGCACCTGATCGGGTGCCCAGCGTCGCCTGCTGCAGCCATGGAGATCCGCGCAGGCTCTGACCAGCTTGCAGCTTTCAAAGTTCCCCGCCAGGCCTCCAGTGTCTCCGCCCCCGAGTGGAAAGGGACAGGAAACGCAAGCAGCACCTGGCTTCGGAAGAGTTCGAGGTCGTTGCAATGCCCTTCGAAAAAATTCCATGCACGCCCCGGGCAAACCACAAGGCAAAAAGGTTTGACCGACAACACCGAAAGCCATCGAAAGCCCTTTCTCTGGCTCTGCAACTGAGGTGCATGAAGCGTGATGGCACTGTATGCCAGAAGCAGGCTCCAATTCACAGACTCGACCTGGGCTTGTTGCGCAAGGGCTACAAACAATCACGCAGCATCAGAATGTGGGAAATGAGACCACCATGGCATCGGGAGAGCGGAAAAAGGCTCAACACCAAGGTCTGTTTTGAAGTGTAGTTCAGCCACAGCAAGCAAACAACACAAGCAAGCCTCTCACCTGGTCGGATGGACAGCCGGAAAGTCCAACAAGCACGTTCGAGTCCACCTACGCGGTCGCCGAGTTCCGGTGCAGACTTAACTCTGGCACGCTCTGGCCTGCCATGCCGGCTCTCTGACGAATCCCTGTGTGCCACGCGGAATTGGCCTTCCGGCTCGCCATAGCCACCCCGCCCACGGAGAAGCCAGCCGCTGCCACAGCGACGTATATCACGATGATGAATCTGGGCCACTTAACCACGGCACGCACATTGCATCGCCAAACGCTCTCCCTGAGACACCAAACCAGCAGAAATGTAGGCCCAGGGCAAGTACGAACGCCAGGTAAAGCTCACGAGAGCCTTAGAATCCCAAAACATGAGCACATGCCAAAGTTGCCTCCACACCCGTATTCGCGACAACGCTAATGGTAAGCTCATAGCCGCAGTAGCAGCAGCAGCAGTCGTCGTCGTCGCCGTCACCGTCGGCGTCGTCATAGTCGTAGTCGTAGTCGTAGGCGTAGGCGTAGTAGTAGTAGTAGTAGTAGTAGTAGTAGTAGTAGTAGTAGTAGTAGTAGTAGTAGTAGTAGTAGTAGCAGGGGCAGCAGCAGCAGCAGTAGTGTAGTCATCGTGTGGTAGTGGGTGTAGTAGCAGGTGTTGTGGCAGGTATAGTGCTTAGTGTAGTATAAGTGCAGTCGCAGGTGTTGCAGTTGTTGCTTCTGTTGTGGTTGTAGCCGCTGTGTTGTAGCTGTAGTAGCTGTCAAGCACCACAGGCTCACGATTCACGCGTCCACGGTACGGCATCACGAAGTGGGCGAGGTGCCGGAAAGCGTTCTTTGTGGGCTGACTTCGGCTGGCAACGCATATAAAGGCAAAGAACTTAGCTTGATATGCTTATCCTTCTTGGGTCGTAGCTATTTCGTGTTGCTGGTAGTGCTCTTGTTGCTGGCGTCCCTGCAGTTGTCGTTGCTGCTGGTGTTCTGTTAGTTGTGTTTTGGTGTGAGACGCTGCGCCAAGAGCTGAGGATGGCACCCGTGCCAGGACACCACGCAGGTGGAAATCCGATAAGAGGCTGGGGAGGACATTGATGCCTGTGAGGCGGCTTGCTCAATGCGCGAGCAATCTCTGCCAACTCTAACTGTGTTGAGCCCTTCCCTGTCGAGCCAAACTGATGACTTCGGTGGTCAAGGACGGTGGCTAGCCCTGCCGATCCGCTGGTGCCGTCGTTTTCTAGTTCTGCCACGGCATTTTCACTTCGACACACCGGCTCCCCAACCCTGTCCAGGAGCCACCAGAATGCCGAGATTGTAGATGGCACTGAGCTGTCGCATCACATCCCTCCACCCTCCATCTCTGCTGACAAATCGACTTATCTTCTTGCCGTTTTCCACGCACCGGTAGGTCTATGGCCACCCTGATTCATAGTACAACTTTATGACACCCTTGTAACTTACCCACGGCCGCCTCCGAAACCAAACACCACGGTGTTCCAGCAGAGGCAGAGCCCTTGCAGATTCGTATAAACCGGCCAACTGTTTGCTCCACCATCCAAGCACCTTAAGTTTTTGCTGAAACGGCTTTGGTAGTTTCTGAACAGCTATAGACTATAGTGATTTCGGGGTCCTTGCATCATGCCTCTTCTCTGAAATCACCATTTCGGCTTTCCGCACGAAGAGAGCAAGAAAGTTTGTGGCTTAAACTAGCATTGCTTCCCGGTTCGAAAGTTCGAAACCAATGGCATCGTGCAGAGTTTTCATTGTCGGGCAGAACTCAGTTCCCCAACCAAGTCCAAGAGAAATCGCCGACTGTCTCCAGATGCTCTGCTTCCAAGCAACGCGCCGATCTTGGAAGGGTCTGTGCCAAACGCAGCCACCACCACTACCACCTTATGAGGATGTTTCGGTCCGCCCGACCTTTTTGCCTGACCCCTCCATCTTGCCGTGACTTCCCCATAACAGGGCGGGCCAAAATTATCACGACCACAGCTACTGCATAAAACGGGCAAAGCAAAAAAGCCAGAGCCGCCGCGCAGATGGCGGAACAAAGAGCTCCAAGTGCAGTGAGAAGGAAGGTCTCTTTGACCGTGGCCATGAAGTAGCCTCAGGCTGGATGATCTGAAAATGCCACCCCAGCATGGGAATATGGAAGCATGTGGTTTCATCTGCAGCGTGCAGCTAAACAGGAAATATGGATTGAAATCCCAAGAATCCAAGCCAAAAGCTTGTCGTGATGACGAAACTGCGTCGAACAAGAGAGCCCGGACTGATTCCCGAACCCACATGACTTCATGCGCCGAATTCCGACTATGTAATCAGCAAGGACATAACCGAGGCAAAACATCCTCAAACCTACGAAACAAGGATGCCTACAGACATGTCCTGAAAACTCGCAAAAAAGTCGGTACCTGGCATTGGTGTGATTGGCTTCGGGGCCATCAACAGAACGCAATGAAAGATGGACACGGCAAACACTGCCATGCGAGACAAAAATTGCTTAAGGCATTTCCTCTTGCAAGGATTTGCAAGGTACCGTTGCTTCGGGATCGCAGTCCTGGCTGCAGTTTAGTTGGAGATGCTGAACCCTCCAGCCAACCTGAAGCGCACACTCAAAAGATGCAGAACACTTTCCACCCGCATCTCCAAGCCACATGGGATCAGCTCAAACGCTGCTGCCACCAGGATCACGCTCCGCTTTGAGAGCCCTTCGATACCCAAGATCCTCGGCAAGCCTACTCAACACAGGAAGGAAAACAGTTTATGAAAAAAACACCCCCGAAATATGTTGGAACTCTCGTACCCGGCACCATGCAAAAAAAAACGATGCCTGCGCCATCACTGTTGCGCTGCCTGCTGCTGAGTCACCGCTCCACTTGGGCGGCATTCACTCCGATCAGGACGAGGAAGATTGTACAAACGCCAATTAACATGAGGCTCCTGGAAGGTGGCAGGCAGCTGCCCCAGGCAAGTTCACAACTGCAGAAGAGCACTCACGGCTGGGTGCATGTCGTCAAGAAAACATGCAGGCGAGAATCTGAAGAAGCATGGAAAGAAAATAGCCGAAGGTTCCTATTGCCTCAGCTGCCCTCCAGAAATAAAACCGACGGATCAATGTCAACTTGCGAGAAGTTTCGGCCAATTATCAAAGGCCCAGGCACTGAAATGCATCATGCCACCTGTACCTTAAGCCTAACTCCTTGGGGAGCCAGGTCTGACCTGCTAGCTGCTCCGACATGCGTCTGTTCTTTGCTTTTTGCCCATCCGGGATTGTGCGCATGTCTGGGTAAGTGAAACTGTGCTTATCGGCAAGTACCCGGTCTTCTCGTCACACGGAAGCTGACACGGCGAGAGAAAACTTGGTAAGCCAAAACCGGTAGCTCCGATTCACCTCAGCCAAGAGTCTTGGTAACCAATGTTTTCATAGCTTGGGAAAGGCTGTTCCTGCACAGCACTTCGAGCAACACGGAGGTGCAGAGCTCACGTCTCTCTTTTGCAACTCTCCTAGCTGTGCGTCTACCATTGGTTCAGTGTCACAGCAGGCAATACATGAAGATGCGCCAGTCAACACTTGGTACTCGTTGCCTGCAGAATTTCTTCGCTCCCACTGTCGCTGCCCATGTCCTTACGTGCGAAAGGAAGACTTCCACAAAGTGGAAGGCTTCTTTGCACTTCGGCCGGAGGGAACAGCAAAGCTAGAAGGAGCTCAGGCACTTCGAGGCTGCTGGCGCTGCCTTCGCTGCTCGAAGCCTCCTCGTCACTGTCATGATCGTAGCCCTGCAGCAAGGACGGGCAAATAAAGCTTTTCCCAAGAAATTTGCCTGGAGACGGAGCTTAGGTCGCTGCAGATAATGAGCCGCTGCCGGCAACAGCTGCCTGATCAAAGGCGGCGTCGTACAGGGAGCACTTGAAACCGCGTCTTGAGCACCCAAGCCCACCCAATGCGAATCTAGGATTTGCCCGATGAACGCTATTTGCGGTTGGTGTCTTCTTCCTACTTGTTTCACACGTGCAGCAGGTTGAGACCCGCGACCCCATTTCGAAGGCGCTCCCCCTGAGCTGAATCCAAGCCTGGGTCTGGAGCATGATCCAGCCAAAGAGGTAGGATGTATGCGCTGCGCAGCACGCACAGAGCACGATGATGGGAATGCCTCCGGCTCTCGTTATTCTGTCACGACTTGGGGCTGGGTTCTCGGAAGTCCTGAATCGCTGGATTTTTTCCCCGGCGATTATCCTAAACCCTTTTTGCAGCTGGGCTCTTAGTGTCAGCCAGCAAGTCCGCCCACGCTCTGAACGGTTGATGATACAAATCCTGCATTACGTACCCATAACAAGGAAGATACCATAATTCCCATGGTTTAGGGTCCTTAAGGTAATGCAGGATTTATACCATTAACCGAAGCACCCTAAAGCCTGAGCCAGTACTGCATGAAAACAGGCAAGTGCAGCAGTGCACCGGCCTCCAGGTCTCGCTTAAGCTTGGATTTCTGGGTCCTTGTTAAGGAACTTAATTTAAGTTACCATAACGGGGATCTACAGTAAAATAATGGGGTTTCCTTATTATGGTAACTTTAAAATAAATTCTTTAACAAGAACCCAGCTTGGCTCAGTTCTACTGCTCAGAGGCCGCGTCCCGCCTACCCATCCAGCGTGTGCGACGGCAGGCCCCAAAGCCAAGAGCCCTGCGCCGACCTGCCCAAGAGACTTCGAAACGACCCTGAAGGCCACAGGAAACTCCTCCGATACTGTGATTCGGGACGTTCAGAATTCTTAGGGAGCTTCTGAGCTAAAACAGGCATGCAACTTCCGCCAGCATGTAGCATGCTTTTGCGAAGACTGCAATTGCCGGAGTTCGCGCAGCGCACTTACTGGATCCAGCAAGGGGCCCAAAACCATTGTTTCCCCTGGCTTCCTCAATTCCCGACTGCAAGACACACATCTTGCCTGTGTACAGGCATATGCCAGTGCCGCTCTGCGCACATGATGTGGCCGGGGCGTGCGAGAGATAAAACTCCTTGGCGCGATCCGCTGCCGGTCGCTCGACAGTCACACACCAAGCAGGAAGGGCTGTGCAATTAACGCAATGGGCAGCATCGTCTTGCCACAGTTCGGTGTCACCCGTAGGAATACTTCATAAAAGCGCACTTAGCACAATCACAGCCGTGATGCCATGCAGTCAGCTCCGAGAACACATGGTGGCTAAGGAGTCAACTTGGCGAGCCCGCTTCGGACCCTGGACTCTTTCGTCAGACCCCGGGGCTCGAGTCTTCGGGACGTCCTGCTATTCCATCTGAGATGCTTCAAAGGACCCTCTGCCGCTTTCACGACTTCCTCTGCCATGGCTACGGACGGAAAGCCGGCATGTAGCCTTCGTTCTTGTTCTGTCATCGTCCCTTAACTCTCCGCTGGTCACCCAACAACACTACACCACATGCCTTGAATCTCGAAAGGGTTTACCACCTCACCGTTCACGTGTCTTGCCACCCGCCTAGCCGACTGTGCGGTTTGGACTCAAGCCTGGCTTCTAAGAGCTTTCGGATTCGAGCTTCCCAGCCTACATGAGGATGCATCGCTACGTCGCATGAAGACACATCTCAAGCATGAAGTTCGAGAATGCGTGAAGGTTTGCAGCGTCCGGATTCAAACCGAAACGGCTTGATAGACTTTCATGAGCTCGAGAAGGACAGTGACAAACCCGAACCCATACCTGTAAGCATAGCTTCAGCAGCGGTGCCCATGGCTATTCCCGTCTCTCTGATCATTGATCAAGAGTCGCTACACTCAATACACCCCGAAGACGTCCATTTAGCGCAACATCCATCGATCCCAAAGAACAGCGACAGGCCGGATCAGTGCAGTCGCGGAAGTGGCTCCAGCTTCGGACGTCCCCTAGAGAGGCGTACCCACGGAGACGGTTCTGACACCATGAGCACAGTAAATTGGGTCAGCCAGCACGAAACTAGTCACATCACCCGGAAATCTGCTCCGTGAACTGCGGATACTTCACTCAGACTCTGTGATTAATGGCTGCAGGAGGCATTGGCTGCATGATCATCATTAAGAGCAGCTGTCGCTTGTGGTGATCCGGTGATCCTACGGTTTATTCAGTTCATACATTATGAGTCTGAACATGAGTAACTGTGTGTATCGGCGCTAGAATCATCAACATCAGCATTGGCATCCATAATTCGTCACCAGTGCGAGTACCATGGTTCAAACGAGTGTCACAAGTACAATTGTGATTTTGTAGAGCTGTGATAACCCGTAATGATAGAAGTCGCATGGGGAGCAGCAGTAGAGGTAGTGGAAGAAATCTCTGCTTATTGCCATTGGCTTACATTTGATTTGATGTACGTCTATCTGTACATCTCTAACAGGCTTTGGTTACGGCAGATTTGCACGCCTTTACGGCCCCTCAAACTCTACAATCATCATGATATTATGAACTGCATGGACACCATCTTGCCCCTACATCCTGGGCTGGAGGCCTTGGCCACGGAATGGCGCAGCCCGGAGCCAGAGGCTGCATGAAAACGCAATCTATGGATAGCGATGGATAGCGATTGTGGATTTTGCACAGACAAATCAACCTGAACCATTGTGAGCTCAATCGGTTCTTTTTGTGTAGAGCTGTGTACCGGACTGCCTTGAGCCCATGCCACAAACGACGACAGTTGTCCATGCAGTTTTAGGAAGGCTAGCAAAAGCAGTGGATCCTACAGCTATTTAGCTTCTGCTGTTGCTATTGTGTGCTGCCCCTGGATAAAGGGACCAGGTTTCAGGGTTTGGGTTGTATTCCAAGGGTTATATATGTGTAGTTGGGGGAGAAGCAACCAGGCATCTTTGCCTACAGCTCCCCCGAATCACGAAACCTGATCACTCATCAACGCTGCTGCCGTGGGCTGGTCAGATACCGCTACGTACCTTACTGGGGGAGTTGAGTGGGCATCCAAGTGATATTACATGTTGTTCCTCGATCGGCCAAGCGACGTCTCCAGCACAATCGGGCATAGGAACTCGCTGCATTGCCTTCTCTGTCTGTGCCTCGACTCAGTCCTGTCGGCCTCGTCTGCTCACAAGTGCAGTTACAGGTCGTCGCTTTGATTCGACTTCCCTAAGGCCCTTCTGCAGGCAGCCTGCAGTCTGTCAAGGAGTCTTGCTTCCGCCGCCAACGCTTAGCGGCTTGGCAGCAGCTGTTCTAGGCTTTGGAGTGAAGCAAGATACATCGCAGATGGCCAGAGCGATGAACCGGTTGCGATGTTCGTAAATGATGAAATTTGGCCTTGGCGGCTGGGGCCCCCGCCGACATCATCACTAGGATGCTGACTTAACGTACATATGTTACACATTCCACCCCACCCCCCCCGCAGGGCTTTTTGTACAGGTACTCAGATGTGCTACTCTCAGCATTGCCGGCCTTTCTGTGCGGCAGACTGCATTGTGCGGCTGGTGAGACAAACATTAGCTGTACAAAAAGCTTTGCAAGTTCAATCTAGTCTTCAACTCATTCCTGTCTTCGCGCAGGGAGTCCGAGAAGGCCCAGAGCTGCCGTTTCTCATCTGCATAGGTTCGATTGGGATCGCCATCAGCAAGCCAGAGGACCTTCAAACGTTCAATGACCAGGTTTTGGCGAGTAGCCCGACATCGAGCTGACATTGATTGAAGGCTTTTTAAGACTGTGACCAGCCAAGACATCCATTCCAGATGCTGACGCTGCATCAGCGATCGCAGCAGCGTTTCCAGATGCAGCAAGGATATACATAGGTTACATCTCCCCCAAGGGCAACACAGCTGCTGATATCTGCTACTCTCTTGCACGGCATAGTTTCTGCGGTGCGGACTGCATTGTGCGGTTGGTCAGACAAACGTTAGCAGAATAGAAGGCTTTCCAGGCTCGCCTTAGTCTTCTGATAATCCCTGTCTCCGACATTCAGGGAGTCCACTATGGCGCGGAGCTGCCGCTTCTCATCTTCGTAGGTTCGATTGGGATCGCCATCAGCAAGCCAGAGGAGCTTCAAACGATCGATTACCAAGTTTTGGCGAGTAGCCCTATGTCGAGCTGAAGCTGATTGCAGGCGGCGTAGGACGTCGACAAGCAATGACATCCATTCCCGATGCTGATGCTGCGTCAGGGATCGCAGAAGCGAATCCAGATGCGGCATATACATCTTTATGCGCTTCCAGGTCGCCTCTATCTCTGTGCCGGTCAAGATGTCTCGCATCTGACTGAGCAATGTGTCTGTGATCAGCTCCTTCACGAACCCCAGGCCACACACGGCATGCTGCTGGACTACATAGTGGGCTGCCACGCGCACGCGTTCATCCGAGTCCAGGCAATGAGAAAATAATTGAGTGAGATTGTTGTCCACGGTTTGGCGGACGTAGTCTTCAGCAAAATGGGTTAAGTGACTTTTCGCAAGCATCAGGCACCAGACCTGGCCTGAGATGCAGAACAAAGCGATTGGGCTACCTTCCAAGGAGACTTCCGGCAGAAGCTTCTCCCAAAATCGAACTTCGCTGAACCATAGGTCAAGTGGCAATCGAAGCGCTTCTGGCACTCGACGTCGTCGGGAAAAGGTGGGGAGTCTCGTGATGTGGTGCGAGTCGCTGCATCACAAAATGCGATGATCGAGGCGGACCTGCACTTTTCAGGATGTGCCCACCACTACCACCACACTGCAGGCGGACGGCCACGAGCAGCGAAACTAGACAGCTCCAAGGACTCGGCGTGTCAAACCTGCCAAGCTCGGCTACATGTCGTAGCAAGACCTCGGTGGGAATCTCGACAGGGCGCTTCAATTGAAGCTGCATGCAACGTGCATTCTTCTCTCGATGAGTAGTCCTTTCCGCATGTGCACTTGGCCCCACCTCGGGACTCCGAGTCTGCTTGGAAGTCACACGCCAGGCCAGGAGATCTCGCACCTAGAGGCAAGCGCAGGCATCTCAGCGCTAGGGGTCCCTGCCGCCATTCAGGGCACTTTGCGAGCATCTGTCAATGCAGACAAGTGACGGAGAAGTACTCCAAAAGAGCAGGCCTGCAAAAAAAGAGAGCGATCATGGTGCGCTTGCCCCTTGTCTCGGCACGTGCGAGCCGAGTCACAAGACATCGCATGCCGGGTGAAAAAGATCGGCAGGATCCTCGCGCCCACATGCTCAAGCATCTACCAGGATCAGGATCATGGCAAAGGACAGAGACCAAGCAGAGATAAGAGGCGAGTGGAGAGCGAGCCCGTGCCTTCTCAGCATCGGAAGCCGATTTAGATGCATCGATCGGATCAGGCCTAAAGTTCGAAGACACCAGGCTCAACAAATTGCAGAACTTCTGGGCATGCGAACCCACTGTGCGGCCTAAGCAGCATCTCAATTGGACTTGAGGTCCCCTCGCCCGCTGCGGCCCGGAGCGCTCCAGGCAGATCTTCCTTTCAATCAAAGAGATCAACATGGATGAGTTCCTGTCGCCCTTGTCTCCCCGGGCCCTGTTGCACCTCGTCATCATTCATCTCGATCTCGGAGCTGCATGCCTCAGGGAAGTTCTGGGAATGCGCTCAGCCGTCTCCATGGTTGATGCAAGCAGTATGTGTGCAGTATGCCTCCTGGCACGGCGCAGGGCCTGGAGGCTCCTACAGATGAGCCGCTCAAGTGCTGAAGTACTGTCGGTGAGACACTCCGCGTGCGTCCTTCGCAGAGTCGTTGCTGTGACTGCCACAAGCTTCTTCTTGTCTGCGCCTTGGCACACAAACCGAACCCATGAATTGCACGCTGTATGGGTAAAGATGTCCCTGTCGTGGTAAGAACACCCCGGTCAGGCTCTCACGCTTGGCTAGAGCAAGGGACTTCCTATTCCTGATTCTCCTGGAGCAAGTTCAGAATGCATGGCATCCCCTCGTGACGTGGGCCAAGAAGGGTGGGGCGTGGACACCGGCGGGGAGGGGGGGCACTTGCACCACTTGCCCTGTGCAGCCAGGCACCTGCGACGGCTCGCCACTGCACACCTGCAGAAATGTCAGAACCCTGAATCGAGCGGACCCTCGCACTGTGTTGGACAGGGTGGAAAGCACATCAAAACGTCAACCGCAAACAAAAAGCAGACACTGGCAAAAGGTCACTGCACCCGGTCTAGTCTAGATTCACCCAAGGTCAGTTGACATATTTGCAAGGCAAGCGTCGTTGGCAAAGGCTCCCCATGCATCCAGGCCACGAGGTCGTTCCTGTTCAAAAACGCCTGGCAAGCACTCGGCAAACGCCGGAGCCGAGGATTATTCGAGCAGGAGGGGTCTCGTGGAGACATGTCGAGACGAGGACACGAAAGCCTTGGGTTGGCGCGCTGCTGGCAGCGACCTGGGCAGGGAAAGATTTTAGCTACTCCTCACTTGCAGCTCAGTTGAAGAGCCGAGCTCCATAAGATGCTGCTTGAAGACTCAGACTCTTGCTCCGACGCCTCCGGAAGCTCCTTTCAGCAAGCAGCACAGTCGCAGAACACGATTGGCCCTGTGATTGCGGTTCTGGCATCCGGAGGCTCCTGTCCATGAGAACCATAAGAAGCCCGGGTGCTCGGGAGTGAAATGTCGCTGTCTCGCTTCGTCCTCGGAACTGTCCTTGGACGAGTCCACTTTCACAGCTGAGTGCAGCAGCCGAGCCAGGTTATGCTGCAGGCGAAGCTGCAACTGCGGGCATGTCGGGTCTGCCGGATCCAGAACCTCAACATGCGTCTCCCCACAGGCGGGCATCCCGGACTCATCTCTCGCAGACCTGCGCTGACTCCCAGATTTGGCCCCCTGACTGTAGTCCAGAACATCAGCCGAAAAGTTGATCAAATTGCAAACACTGGCACGGCGTAAAAGGAACGAGCACGGCTCGAGTTTACAGTATGAAGAGCTGTCGCTGCCAGAACCAAACACGACAATCAAATATCGCTGGCAACTTCCTGCAGACTTGAACGCGCTTTCCGACAAGTGACATGTTGCTGTCGTGCAGCAGCCGCCTGACATCTTCAAGCCCCTGGCCCTGGATGCAAAGCCTTGAGGGACGATGGGCTGCACGAGACACAAGAGACGGAGAACCAAAACTGTGGCGAGCTTTACGTCGAGGCCGGCGCATACATGTGATACTTTCACACATGTCATGTCTCTCCACGGCTGAAAAGCTATGGTGGCACCTTCAATGTGAATAGATGCTCCTGTAAGAGACCTTGCAGAGCCATTGAGGTCTGCAGAAGGGCAACACCACCTCCTGTGTTGAAGCTTATGCGCTACGATGCTGCAGCTGGTGTACGGACATCTCGCAAGGACCGCGAATCGAGCCAACTGCAGCGGAGAAACGCTTTGCTCAGCTTTTCGTTGTCACTTCGAAGAGCTTCGTTGTGACTGCGAAGAATGTTGCGCCTGAGCACCGTTTGCACATCATTCCGTGCTGTATCTTCTTGTCCGTGGGAACACCGAATTGCAACTGAGTCTCTCCCAGCACGAATGGCATCGGAGCATCACTGTGTGGCATCGGCGACGGCGGCAAGCTCCACCTCAGTCTCTTGCACGGGGTTCCATGAAAATGTCACATTCAACCGGCTGGAACCTGTCTTTTCAGCTGAGTCTCTCCCAGCGCGAATAGAATTCGCTAAAGGGCACGGAATGCGGCGACATTTCCGCGCTGGTCGAAGCACCATTTCACGTGGAAGAAATGGAAGAGGACTTGCTGGGATTAGTTTATAGTTAATTTGTGGTTGCTATGTGCGTCTATCCGTGCGTCTCTAGCAAGTTTTGGTTAGCGCAGGTTTGCATCGGCTGTGTACGCCCCTACGCCCAGCCACCGACACAACCAGACCGGAGCCAGCGGCATGAAGACGCCATCTATGGATTGATAACGAGCAGAGAAATTCAGAACACAAATCAACCTGAACCAACGTGGGCTCAGTAAGTTCTCTTTGTGTCGATCTGTGCACCTGACTGCCTTGAGCCCATGCCGCAAATGACGACATGTCGTCAATGTAGTTCTAGGAAAGCCAGCTGGGGAGAGCATCCTACAACACCTGAGCTTCTGCTGTTGCTGTTTTGTGCTGCATGTGGATTCAGGGACCAGAGGCATCAGCCATCTTTACCCACAGCTCCCGCTGAAGACGGACCCTCATCAACGTCGCTGCCGTGGGCTGGTCAGCTGCTTACCGTCACGCAACTTACTAGAAAAGTTGAGCAGCGCAAGCGGACGCTTCTTTTTATTTCGGAACTCGCTGCCTTGCCTTCTCTGCCTTCGCCGACTCACCTAAACCTTCGTGGCCCTCGGCTTTTCTGCTCCAAATCTTCTTTGCCAGAGCTCCGACCTGATGCGCTTTGCCACACTTGCCCAAGTGCTTCAATGCGTTGTCTGCAGCAATGACGGCCTCCTGGTGATCTTTCAACTTCAAGCAACACACCGCCATGTTGCTGCAAACCGCTGCCAGCTCCAGGCTCAAAACCTCCTCGTCCTCTGCTGCTCTGGAGCTCGCGTCACCGCAATTCAAACGATTGATGGCCCGTCTGTAACACGTCATGGCATCATCCCACTGCTGGCACGCGAAGAACCGGTTGCCGTGCTCTTTACACGCCTTGACTGATTCGAGCAGTGTCTCTGCAGCGTCTGCCTTTTTAGGTAGGGTCCTCTCGCGTTCTTTCAGATGGCCGAGCTCCACCAAGGGTGCGTACAATGGCGCGACCAGCGCGCGCCTGAAATGGCGGCGCTGGGACTCTTCTGGAAACAGCTGCCTTAACTCAGGGTGCTCACGCTCGAAGCCGCACAGCTCATCCCGCTGGCCTCGTTCCAGGCCCACGGCCGCCGCTACCCCCGTGCTGCGACCGGTGCGGTGCCCATCTTTCAACAGGTCTTGGGAACTCTCGGCACCACTGCTTCCCGGAGCAAAGCACTGCAGCTCGAAGACCTCGAAGACTTGCTGGAACAGCTCGTACTCCGCCTGGTTCATTATGATACTCCGCTTCAGACCGGGCAAGTTTTGGTACTGAGGGGCCAGGAGGCCAACATTGTCGTGAGTGAGGAAGCTGACCGAGAGGTCTACCCATGGCACTCCCGTGGTACGATGGGTCGGCATACTGTGGCGCACAATGAGCGCAACGATGCCTAGCTCATTCTGGCTGATATTCATCAACTTGTCGTTGCACTGGTAAAAGAACATGTTTGATCCCTCAGTGCATCCGGTCTTTTTGCTCCGCAACAAGACAAAGGTGGCTCCTGACTGAGGCGTAAATTTTCCGCCACCAGTCAGCTCAAGGGAGTGGCGGGTGGGCCACAAAAGCTGCACACCGGAACAAACATGCTTGATCATGTTTGATCCCTCAGTGCATCCGGTCTTTTTGCTCCGCAACAAGACAAAGGTGGCTCCTGACTGAGGCGTGAATTTTCCGCCACCAGTCAGCTCCACCATCATGCCCGGCCAGCTAGAGTTACAGCCTTGCAGGCGTGGCGATAGCGCGCTGGGCGGAGTTAAACAAGAACGGAAAAACGGCTCTAGCCGCTTCGATAGCTTCTCTCGAATGTCGAGGGAGTGAGGGGAGCACAGAACCAGCGGCGACCTCCTGTAGGTAGAAGGCCAGTGTCGCCTGATGCTGGAGCCGCATTCGCCACTGCAGTGATGGAATATCCAAGCCCCCTTGGTAAGCTGCCACAGCTCCTCCGCCCCGGAGGGATCCCGCGGTGAGCTTGAACGTCCGAGCGACACCAAGCCTTTCAAGCAGGTAATCCCATCGACGTCTGTAGACCGAGGGGCTTCCGTGGTAAAGTCCCTCCGAGGGAGGTATGGCATCACAAACAGAAGAAATGGAAGCACCAATGCCACATGCTGAGTACGCGGTCCCCGGAACCTAGTTTTAGGCTCACGGATCTTCAAGAAGAACCGAAAATCAGTTCGTAGAAGGTCCTTCGGTGTCTGTAAATCTGATCTCTTCGCCCTCAAGACCTCCCCGATGCGGCAGCACCCGTAAAAGGCAACGAGCGTGATGCAGACCCAACGTTTCCATCCCCAACAGAAGCCGAGGCAGCACATCGCCTCGAAGATTGGCTCCGGTAGAGGCGGCCTGTGTTGGACCGGCTCCAAGCGCTCCCAGCGGGTGAGCATCTCCCACCCAGGCTTCAGGAGAGGGCGACATCCAGGAACTCGCCTTTGAGCAGTCGCGAGCAGCTGCCTGTAGTTTTGGAGAGGGGCTCCTTCGCTATACAGAACCTGGCCATACGCACAAAGCATCTCAACCAGAATGTCAGGGCAGCTCAAAGCGATTTCAGCGGCGACAGCTCCAGCGCCATCGTGAAGCCATCTGCTGAAGCCTGACCAAACGGCCGTCTGCATAGCAAGCGTAGCCGGCTCGACAAGAGGCACGTCCCGCAAGATTAGAGGTGCTCTCGCCTTCCGACGTGGAGGTCCAGGAACTCTCGCCTCCCCGATCCGCGCATTGGTGCACTTGGCGCACCGGCTAATGTCCAAAGGCCGAGCGTAATCAGCCCAACCAGCGTCTTGACACGTAGCCTGAGCCAAGAGCACGCAGAGCCTCCTGGGGTAAGGCTCACCAAGCTTGGTCCGCGATGACTTTGTAGCAGGATCACGACCGCGGAGTCGAAGGTGCTGGTGATCCCGGCTGCACCTCAAGTGTTGTCCACCGAGTTGCCCATTCGTTCGAAAGCGAGTAGGTTTCTTCCAAGGAGTCCCAACAGTGCAAAAATCGACAGCGAAGTCCCACCTCGTACCTCGCGCGAGACACCGCTTCCACCCTTCTTGGCGCCACATCCAGCTGCCCAAAGGGTTTTCGATCAAGTACAGAAGTCCTTCTCGGTCGCAGATAATCACCAGTTCCAGAACGAAGTCGAGCATGGCATTCCCTTCTCGGACCTTATCCCACTGCGCCGCTGTCAGGTTGGGTTTTCCAGCAGGGTACTCAGAGCTTCTCCATGGAGGAGTGATCGCGCAAGAAAAGCTAGCGCAGACAGGTCCAGCACTGAAACCCTCGAAGGCCCCACCTTCCAGAAGCTGCTTGATCGGCTTTTGAACGTCACAGTCCAGCAAGTCCTCGTCGCTTCCATGCAGCACATCGTAACAGAGGATCCAACATGGCGCGGCTCGAGCTAGCTCCTTAGCAAAGCCCCGGGAACCCGAAAACAAGTCAAGCCACCCCCGACCGTGAAGAAGAGCAGAACTCAGGTCAGGAAACACCTCGGAGAACACAAAGCGACCGGGCGGCAAGGATCGAAGTAAGTCCAAGATGGCCGGTGAGAGGGCAGAGGATTTTGGCGTAAGTCCAGGCCGAGGCGCAGAGGAGCGCCGCGATGCTTCGTTAAGCCCAGACGGTCTCAACAGCTCAACTCGAGAGGAGCCGGAGACTGACGCAGATAAAGGCTCAACCCGTGGGGAGCCGTCGACACTGAGAGAAGATGAACCGGGCTCCGGAGAGCCGGCGGCAGTCAAAGAAGGAGTTGGCGAGAAGGCAGGGGCCGGTGAATCGGGAAGGTTGAACCCTAATGCCTCAAGGGATTCCCTCTGGCTTTCACTCAGCTTCCACAAGTCGCGAACTGTGAATGCGACGAGCACACATCTCCTGCCCCGCCAGGGCATAGTAGCATGAAGGCGATGGTGTTCAAGCACACAAGCCCCCCGGCTGACATCAAGGAGCTCGTCATGCACCGTCCTTCCCTTCCATTGGAGAGGAACTGATCCTCCGGTTGTTTCAATCCACACTTCCCCGCCCCGAAATCGACTCAACGGCACAATCAAGTTCGGATGACCTTCAAGATTATGAGAATCCTTATGGGGCAGGGACTTAGTGTTTGCGAGCACACTAAAGGAGGAGAAACGCATTCCAGGCATAACCTGGCGGATGTAAAGGCAGAAGGCCCGCACCGCTCGCGGGAACGTCCCACAGGAATTCAGGAGCCCCACAACTCCTCCATGGACGAACGCTCCACCATTGAAGGTCAAGCCTTTCTGCTTTTCCAAGGCGCTACGATCACTCACCTGAGCAGGCAGCCTGTCAAAGAGCACAAGAAGGTCAGCAGAGCCAATCACAGCCCGACGCAGGATTCGGCTTGCAACACTCTCAGGGTCCTGAGCACGAACCCCCCGTCGACCTCGGTCGAGGCCAGGGAGGCTGAAAGAAGCATCCGGGCCCAGCTCCCGCTCATCAGGTAAATCCCGAAGTTGATCCAAGTGAAGCCCAATCGAGGTTAGCCAGGAGTCAAGTGGTCCGAAGTCTCCCTGACAAGCCGGGCCCCACCAGGCGGGAGCGTCAGCAGCTGGCTTGCGCACATCGACGGTCCGCGTAGGGTCGTCCGCCGGGTTAAATTTGGATCGGACGAAACCATATCTAGGCTGGGTCCTTAGGGTCAAGTGGTCTGCTAGGGAGCGCCGAAGTTCGAAATTCAGGGCGCGAGAGGAGCTGCGGCCCTTCACAAGACAGGCTGTTGCGACCTGGCTATCAAGAAGGTGCAGATACCGCGTTCCCGGAAACCGTCTACC